CACAGGGTGTCCCCAGCACAGTTTGTCCCAGCACAGTTTGTCCCAGCACAGGGTGGCACAGCACGGGATGTCCCCAGCATTGGGTGTCCCAGCACAGGATGTCCCCAGCACGGGATGTCCCCAGCACAGGGTGTCCCAGCACGGGATGTCCCCAGCACAGCGTGTCCCAGCACGGGATGTCCCCAGCACGGGATGTCCCCAGCACGGGATGTCCCCAGCAGTGGATATCCCCAGCACAGGGTGTCCCAGCACAGTTTGTCCCAGCACAGGGTGGCACAGCACGGGATGTCCCCAGCATTGGGTGTCCCAGCACAGGGTGTCCCAGCACAGTTTGTCCCACCACATCCCACGGTGGCACCGCACGAGCAGAGGACACTGCCTGTGGCAGCTACAGGTAGGAGCCCTCCAGAGGGAATGAATTGTTTCCTGTTAGAAAGTACATTTCACCCATCTCACTAGCAGATTTTATCCATGCTTGCACACGAGAAGAGTTCATTAGGAGCGTTTTTCCTAGCTGGAAATGCCAGTTAAAGAGACATTTATATACGCAGCATTGTTGGCTTGTGTTTTGAGTTAAGGCACTGCTGACAGCATGGTTTATGGTGTCAGACAACTTTTCACCCTGCAGTAAGCATTTTTGCAAAGGTGTCTAATCATCTCTGACAATACCTGTCAACAGTAGTAGTGCTCTGATATTACTGACCCTCTTAATGGTTTATTTTCCCCAAACAATTGCCAAGTAGTTCTCATCCTTATTGACTGTGACAACAGTAGTTCATTGGACGGCCTGCTCCTTATTAACAGAGTAAGTTAGCAATTCATCAAAGGGTTTGGTTAAATTTCAACAGTATTGAACATTATATTAATGATGTTGCTGGAAGTATTATTCAGAAAACCCACCTGACAGTATTCCTGATTAAATGAGTGCAACTGAAACAGAAGTTTGTGTAACAGGATGGAAAAGCAGCTACAAGCGGCGTCTTCAGAAGGAGTAAGTCCTAAACAAGTGGAAATAAATTGTGCAAGCTTTTCCTGTGGATGCTCCAGAACTACCTGTCTGCATGTCCAGGGGCATGCAGAGTCAAAATGTATTTTGTATAATTCTGCTGGCTGGAATACACAGAGAATAACAGTCTCTTTTTGTATTTATTACCCTGCTAACATGAGTGGCTAAGGTCCTAAATTCCTAGAACTTTGCCACCGTTTTAAATAGGGCATCAAATTTGTTCCACAGGGAATTCCCCATTTCCCCATTGTATTTTTAAATAGACATTATATAGTGTGTGTAAAAAAGAGGCTGGAGATGTCAGCAAAACAAATCTAACTTACTGCCCTTGATCACAGACAGTCTTATTCCTAATGTCTTTTGGAAGATAGGTATTACAAGAATAGTTCTGCTTTTTTGCATGTACACAACCTTAAATTTACAGTAATTTTATGAGATTATTTATGCCTAAAGGCAAAGAAGCAGTCAAGAAGTGGGGTTGAGAGGAAGGAAAAGAGAAGGGAAACCATGAAGCCAGCTTAGAAAGAGCAAAAAGTGAACGGTCGCGTGGAAGCGTGGATTGGCATACTCATGTCTCTCGTTGGCCACTGCAGCAAGTATTTTCCAGTTTCCTGAGTGCCACCTGGGATGGGCCAGTGCTCTCAGGCTCTGGCTGTGGGGAACAGGCCACCAGCACGGCGCGGTGCCTCTCGGCGCCATTCCCCCATCCCGCGGTGCCTCTCGGCGCCGTTCCCCCATGCCGCGGTGCCTCTCGGCGCCATTCCCCCATCCCGCGGTGCCTCTCGGCGCCATTCCCCCATCCCGCGGTGCCCCTCGGCGCCGTTCCCCCATCCCGCGGTGCCCCTCGGCGCCATTCCCCCATCCCGCGGTGCCTCTCGGCGCGGTTCCCGCAGCCCGCGGTGCCTCTCGGCGCCATTCCCCCATCCCGCGGTGCCCCTCGGCGCCATTCCCCCATCCCGCGGTGCCTCTCGGCGCGGTTCCCGCAGCCCGCGGTGCCCGCCGTGCACACCATCCCCGAGCATGGGGCACCCAGGGGCTCCGTGTGCAACAAGTGCTGCCTCAGCAGCTGCTTCTGAGCCTTTGGGCGTTTTCCCTAAGGCTTCCATTCTGCGACATCTGTCTGTTTTGGCTGCATCAGAGCCGTCATCCTTCCTAAAACGCCTGTGCATCTGTGGACTTCTCCTTCCATTGCTGCTCTTGACTGGGTTTAAATCTGATCAGCTGGGGAAAAGACATCCAAAGGAAGTAACATTATGTAAGACACCAGAGTATCCTTGGGGACAGGACTCTTGAAAATACACCAAACAAGCAAAAGCTTCGGAGTTCACATGCAGATGATTCTGGAAGCAGTCACACAATTTTCATGCCGCTGTTCACTTAGCTATGGAGCAGGATGATGGTGACAACTTCTGAGGCGTATGCTATTTGAAAAGTTTTGTTCTGGAATAGTATACATTCAGCAGCATGTTTAACAAAGTCTTCTTCAGTGACGGTTATATTCCAGAAATCTCTAACAGAACTTCCATTTGCTAAAATCTTTTAGATCAATGGCATATAATAAACTAAAATAGCCCTACAACCCCAGAAGTTACAAAAAAAAGGATCCCTCATGGGAATTTTGAGTCATATTTAGCTATGGCCACTATTTGAGCCTATCTACAAAAGAATTTTGCTTATTCCAAAGTGTTTGTGACCCCTCTAGAGCATGAAGGAGTGCTAATAGTTCTCCCAGTTTTGGGGGCATCTTAGGATATTTTATTATGTCAGTGTCAGTATTTCACTGAGATTAGGACTTCCACATGGCAGAGTGGACGCAGGGAGGGAGCTTTATTCATTGGAATGCAGTGAGACACAACATTCCATGCTTCTTGCTTCCTTTGAAGGATTCTTTCTTATAAAAATAAGAGTTTGCCTCTCTTTATTATATTAAACTATTACCTACAGGCCATTTTGTCTGGACAATTTTGCAGCATTTATTTTCATCTCTGTCCCAGCCATTAGAAATCTGATTTATCAAAGATACTTGTAAACTACAGTAACTTTTTGACTGGGTGATCAGTGCTAAGGACCTTGAAAAATTGGCAGAAGTTTTCACCCTGTGAAAACATTAAGATACATAAAGCAAATTGATAAATACCATTTAATAGAATATAGGCTCTAGGATTTAATGCTTTAACACATAGCAGTAACAGATCATTCCAGGTATGGAACATCATATTTCAAAAGCCATACACTTAATGCTGTAAAAGGAAGGATTATATGAAATGTGATTGATTCTTATACCTTTATGTCATAAAAAGTAGCTTCAGTTATGTGGGGTTCTGGAATCAGTAAAGTAAGAGGTTACGAGAAAAAGTCAACCCTTAAGTTGCAGACAAAGAGCTTCTACTACCAATATAGTATTACATCATCAAAATATTTCACAGACACTCAGAAATAAGCTGTACTTCTGTATGTCAGTGAAGCAGCAAATTGAATTCTCATAATATGTTTTGAAAATGAGTCTTGTTAGGTTTGATGAGGTGGAAAACGTACTGAGATCACTGGTTTGTTCCAATACATTCAGTACGCTTTTCTTGGATGTTTGCCATGGCTAATCTTTTTAATGGCAGTGTAGCTGTAAACCCATTTGGTAGAGAGCTGGATGTCTCCGTTTGAGTATCACACCAAACAGGATGGTAAATAAGTTTCTCTTCAAGCATGCAAACCTTTTTTTTACAATACTAGAAATTTTATTTTAAGACACTGAAAAACCTCAGTATTTCCTTTATAAATTCAGTGAGGAGCAGAATAAAATGCAAATGTCATTTCAAATACTCTCACACATACATATGTAGATGTTTGGCGATTTTAAGAGTTTTATCAAGGGCAGACTTCAGCTAATTCAGGCCCAGTATTCAAGAAGTTGAGCCTGTCACAAACCCTCTGGATTTCTCCAAAACCCCTTCTTAGCTACTCCCACATGCCATTTTGGAAATGGTCTAAGAAAACAGTGGGCCTTACAGTGTGGTGAGCCATCATCAAATGCAAAGTTCTGTCTTAGTAAACTGACGAGAAGATTTGGATGAGACATGAAAAATTCTGGCCTCAGCTTATTGAGGTTGAGCCAGAGGTTGCCCTTCGGGTGCTTCAGATGATCGCAGCCCATGGGCTCACGCTGGTGTGTTACCTTTAGTTATATTCTGTAGATTAAAGTAAATACTTTCTGTTGCCCTTTAAAGCTAAGTTAGGATGCACTGGTGATGTCATAGCATTTTTATGATGGCCCCAGAGTGTAACTACCGTTTAATCTGCTTCTATTTGAGATGTCTTTACAAAATAATACGCTTTTCCTTAACACAATTTCATAGGTATGGGATCTTATGTAGTCAGCATCACTTTCTTTAAACCACATTCCTGATTCCTTGGTTCAGAAGAAATCTCCTGCAAACCCTGCTATCTTGTCCTGTCTTCCTTTCTGTCACCCTTAAAGAATCCGATTCATACAGGAGAGGTTTGTGTACTGCTGCAGTGGTCCCAGCACTCTGAATTCTGTTTTCTGTTAAATTATTCGTGGATAACTCCCCTTGAGAGAATCCTGTGAAGAAATCACATAAGATGAACCTTTTTCCCCTAGGTTTCATTTTTCAACTTCTGAATGTACATTTTCTGTAGTCTCTTGTCTAATTTCAAGTTGCTGTTGAACTGATTTTTTGTACTTCACACAGATAAACAGTTTGCTGTCTTTAAACACTCTCACAAAAGCACAAGGTTGGAGGTGAGAGTGTTTAAACTGTGTATGTCTTAACTTCTTAACCATGCAGTAGAGTTGTAGATCTGAGAAGAGATGTAGAAAAGGAGCACATGAAAAGGAAAGAGGGAGGAGAAAAAAAAAGTGTCTGGAAGAGCTGCTTTTTAACAATGACATTTTGTAAGTAATATGGCCCTTTGAGCCAGAGGTTTCAGACTGCTTTGCCAAGAGTCACTGATGGTTGTGGATGGGGTTTGTTTGCAGTTATCCCTACAGCGAGGACTCCAGCCAGGGAAGGCAGTACATGAACACGAGATGTCCAGCCTGGTGCGACAGAATCCTGATGTCCCACTCGGCCAAGGAGCTCATTCTGAAGGTAAGTACAGACCTGCAGCCCCCTGATGCCTCCACCTGCATTATCTGCACCAAACTCAGCCCTTGAGTTTGCCAAACTGGAGACAGCACACCATGGTAGTAAATGGAGGGGTCTGCCTCCAGTGATTTGCACCCAAGAAGGGGGATTTGTCCCCATAAATCTGCTGACAGTGACTAAAAGATGAGCTTTCACAAGCACTTCTTTTGGTATCTGAGCTGCCAATGATGACTGACTGTCTTCTGTCCTGTGCCTCTTCTGTGCAAGGGTGCACAGCCCTGGGACACTGACTGCTCGCTTTAAAGAGAGTAACAGAAAATAAAAAAGGCCCTATAAAAACCCTATGAAAAGTCTCCATTAGTCCCCCAGCCCAGTCCACCCTGCAGTGATGTAAGCAGCAACATTGCCCCTACCAAGGATTCAGCAGGGATGCAAACAGAAGCAGGTACAAGTGGCTCCTGGCTGAGGAGTCACACAATTGAGAGAAAAGCCTGTACAGCAACAGATGCAGGCATCTGACTTAGCAGAGTGGTAGATTTCCTAAGGTACTCCCAAGAATATGACAAATGCTGCGTAGGCCAAATCTATTCAGGCTGTCCCCTGAATGAGGATGGTCTCCAGCAGGAAGGCTCCTAACTGTGGTACGCCAACTAGGTGCCTAAATTTAGACATTCCGTTGAGGCTTTAGAGATAAGATTCTGCAATGTTTTTAGAACATACAATTCCTCTTGGGATTTAGGGCTTGTAGATAGGGTTAGGGTTAGTTGGTGATGTTCTGTCCAAGGTTAAATGATCTAAATATGGTTCGGGAGCCTTGCAGTTTTCTTTCCTGTCATTTGCTCTCTCCTTGTTCCCCTCTGCCCTCCTTCCTTTCTTGGGAGCCCTGGACTGGCTCAGCTGGTTACCTGTGCCAGCTTCCCCTGCCTCTGTCCCTGTGAGTGTGCTCCTGGCACCCAGACCCCCATCCTGCTGATGCTGGTTGCCAGCTGCTCTAGAGGGCCAAGACCAGATCAGGAAATGGGCAGGTGGTAGGAGATCTCTCCCACTTCTCTCTGTTCTGAGCTGGCCAGCTGGCAGCATAAATGGATGTGCTGCAGCGAGGTTGTCTTGGCTGACCGGACTGTATGACTCTAACAGACTTACTGAACCTAAAATTGCCAAAAGTCATGTGTCTGTCTGTGTGCTCCTATATAATTAATGCAGTTTAGTGGGAGTGAATTACAGAAAATAATCTTCTAAGTAAATCAATGTTCTATAGTTTCTTAGCTTCTTTTTTTTCCAGTTTAAATTAATTACACCCTTGAAACTTGCTCTCCTGAAGTTTATAACCTTCTTTTTCTTTCTCATCGGGGTTATTTATCTCGTGGTTGGACTGTTTGCTTTGCAGTATATAACTCACTGAAGGGCTGGGAATGTGTTTTCCATAGCTGCTCAAATTTCAAGTCAATGCACTTCCTCGCATGTTTTAATGTGTAAAAAGTGTCTGTGTGACATCATGAAATTTCACTCAAAATTTTAGACAATGCATGTACTGCAGTGTTCAGTAAAAAAACGTGAAGCCTAAGGGCAATACAGTCTTTATAGTCAAATAGTAACGTCAAAATCAGTGTTACTTATTTTTGTTACACGAAAATGTCATGTGAAAAAGTGAGACTTTACCCAAAATGTTACCGATAGTGCTTGGCGACCATGAAATTCCTAAAGAACAAAGGATTAAAACCATGAAAAGAGTGGCCAATGAGGGAGGATTTTTTTTTAAGCTATGAATAAGGAGATAAATGTGTACACAAAAGCTTGAAGAGTGTAAACAGTACAGAGGGAAAGGAATTCTTTCTGATTATCTAGAGGGCTATAACTTGGATATAATGGGAGAAAATTCAACAAGGGAAAACAAAGTTTCAGTGCTGAAGAAGTTTGTAGCTGTGAGGTCAGTTGCAATTTCCAGTCTCCGTGTAACAGAAACTGCATCAGCTGCATCCTTCAAAGCTCACCTTTAAAATTGCACACAACTCTGTCTCTGGAGCTTTGCAAATTGTGGTCGGGCAGTTTGGGGCATCTCCAGCAGCTCGTGTGCAAAGGGACGGGTGCTGCTGGGGCCAGGCTGGGCTGTGGCTCCGTGACTCTGGAACCAACAGAGGAGTTTGCCTATCCAGCCCAAAGCCAAACCAGCATTCTGGCCCATAGAACCTATGAAAATAGCCACTAGAAAATAATGCCAAACTGACTGAGGAAAGGGCAAAACCACAGGTTTCTGTGGTTCTACGCCAGAAGCAGTGTTGGCCTTGACTGAGAATTTACCCCACTGCAGAGACCTGTAGTTTAAAGCTTTAAAAGGAACTCTGTAGAAAGTAAAAGCAAATTTTAATTAACTGATTACACTGTAACAAATCCTGAAAATAAAAATGTATATGAACTTTTAAAGATTGAATATTCTTATTTGGCTAATTATTTTGCTGTGTTACTTTTTCTTATAAGCAATTAAAGAGTTTATTTTTCTGCCTAGGCAATTCTGTATTTTATTTTAAACAAAAATTGTAGCTAATCTGCATTTAAATCCTAGGTAAAGAAAGGATAGGGTGCACAAATTGCCACTGTACAGTGTGTTCAGCTACACAGTAGGCATTACAGATTGTACTGACATGGGGCTGTAAACAGCTTTCATGCAACATCATCTATCATGCCATGGTCGGTTACCTCACCATCATGTTATTTTATGCTTCCTGAGCCCTAAACCACCAAAGGTTGCCCACTGCTCGGGAGCTGCGCTGATGCCTGATCGCATGAAGTAATGAATGCTCAGCCAAGTGTATATTGTTTCTGCTTGTGCACTGCTGTAATTTGTTTATCTGTCTAAAGATTATGCAGTTGAAAATCCACAATTTTATGCTGCCTTTGTAAATTATCAAGTCGCTTTTGATGAATGTATCCCCACTTCCGATGCTGGTGGCATTATGATCTTGAAATATTGGAAAGTGCTCATGCATACAATGCAGAAGGTTATGTTTTTATATTTTTGGCAGACAACCGTGCTGTAAAGTAAATCTGACCTTAAGCTTCCTTACTGCATTAAAGATAATTCAGTTTTAACTTTATAGTCCTAAATGCTACTGTTTATATAAAGTTATTGCCCAGTCAAACTTGACTGATTACAGATGAGAAAGTCTTGGCTGTTTCCTACAAAATAAATTAGTATCGCCAACTAGTTTAAAGCACATCTACGATTGCATTAGAGACTGGAGAGTGTGCAGATTACAGATTTAATTAGCTTATAGAAATTGTTTAGCACAATAAGAAATCATTTTGTATGGCAATGTATTAGTATTTATTCCTGAAGTACTGTGCTAAAGAATCAAAATAGCTCCTCCAAATCACGTTTATTGAAAACAGCAGAAAGATGAGTACATTTTATTATTCATTAAGATAAAAATGCTAAAGAAGTCAGTGTATAAGGGTAAAGTTCAACATGGAACAAAATGAAAGCAATTCATAATGGAGACCAGAGGAATGTCATCCGTCATTTGCTGCTTTTCTTAAAATCCCTGAATGCTTTTTTTCAGATGAAGAAATTTATCTCAGAGAAATGGTTAAACATTATGCTCATAACCTGAAAATAGTCATTCATCTCTCTGAACATTTAAAATCCCCTATATGATGAATTCAAATGCTGTTATAAGGCAACATGGATTGCATTTAATTCTAAGAACATTTGCCTCACCTAATTCAATAAAAATTGTGTTGTTCTTAAGAAAGGACTGGCCAAATGTGCTTGCTGCATTTTGCAGCAGAAGCCTGGAATGCAACTACAACGAGTCACTCATTTCACTTAGTGCAGCGTTAGCCACGAATATTTCCCTGGGTCCCATCAGCAGGGAGGAGGCATAGAGATCTCAGGGGGTTTTTCATGCAGGCAAAAGGCACAAATTACTGCAGCAGTACTGGGCATAAAAGTTCATTTTACACATTCTTTCTCTGGAGAAGCCAAGCCAAGATGTGTTAATATCACCTCATTCAGAAATCGGTTTCACTTATCTGCACAATATTTCCAATGTTCCTTTCTGTGTGTGTAATCTGGAGAATTCTTGGACTGACTAGTGTTCTGTTGTTTTCTGTTTTTTTTTTTTTAAACTAGTCAGAAAATGATGAGAAGATAGTAATATATGACCACATTGGGCCAAATGTCTGCATGGGGGATCACAAGGTAATTAAATTAAACATTTTAGTCTTTTATCTTCTAGTTTTTTCATTAGGAATGAGAATACATGCACTAGGTTCTACTAATTGTAAGTCAGCTATGTCTCTGCCCTATTTTTAAGTAATTCCTTGAAAATGTTTCAGAGTTGAATTCAGCTGCAGTCAGTCTGTCTATCAGAATGGCTGCTTGTATGAAATCAAAGAACAGGATGGGTGCTAGAATGAAAGCAGGATGCCATGCAAGCCAAGAGGAGCAGCCATGTGTACACTTAAAGCTCTTCTAGCAGCACACAAGAGATTTCATTGGGTTATCAACTATGCTTTCAAAGCATAGCTTCAGCCAGGTTGATGCACAGGTGCTTAATAGTAAAAGAATATATTGGCAGTTCCATATTCAAACAACAAGTGATAAAAAAAATATAGAAGAAGGATAAAGAATTATAAATAAATAAAAAATACCAGTTGTTTAAATTAGTAAAATACCTAAATTCTATGGTCTTCTTTGCTGAAGATACCAGATGGAAACCGAAGTTTGAAATACAATAAAACAGAGTATTTGCTTTCTTTGAAAAAAGACAATTGAGGAGTAGGAGGTAACCTCTGAAAGCCTATCTAAAACCAGCACTGAGGCTCTTGAATGATAATTCAGAGGGATAGTGGGTAATTGTATGTGTGGATGCATGTGTACTCGCAAATCTGAGCTCACAAATGTATACCCCTATTTAATTCCACGGTCAGAGTTCTTGTGAGACAGAGAATTGTTTTCTAAGGAAAAATGCACTTAGGGCATTTGGTCCAGAATCATCCAAGGTTTTAAAACAGAGCAACTTACCAATTTATCCAGTAAACAAAAAGGTCTGGGTCAGCCAGTTCAGAAACAGCAGTTTTTGTTTCCTTCATCACGAAAGTGGTGCAGCACTGTTACAAAAGGGAGTTGTGTGTGGGACCTGAACCTCTTCCCACAGAAATCTCTGGAAATTTTTCCTTTAGGTTTCAGTGGGAGCAGAAATCTGTGAGGAGATTATGTTGTTCCCTTATGCATTTTGTAATTAGATTAATTAAAAAACTTGTTGCAATATTTTGTTTCCAGTCATAGAGAATTTTTTGTTGTATTTACTACTGACTGTAAAGAAAAAAAAAATCAAAACACGTATGTTTCAAACATGTAACTTCTATTTTTCCCTAACTTGCTGCAGCCTGTGTTCCTGTCCTTTCGAATAGCTGCTGGGGCAGGTAAACCTATTGCAAATGTGCACAAGTGTTGTGTCGTGCAGTGATGTGGTGGTAAATATCATCTTTTTTCTTTACGTTTCTATTACATTTTCTACATCATTTCCCCTGTGTTTATCTTTCTTTTTAAAAAAATGCCAATTCTGCAACAGGAAAAAGATGCCTACGAAGTGAGAAGATTTTCCGTGAAACCACACTGTAGCCAGGAGGGAAGGCAGCACACTGAAATCTGTAATCCCAACAGCTGTATTGATAAATCCAGTCCTGAGTGCCACATTTTTAGACTGCTGATCGTACACTATGCTTCAGCATCTGGACTCTGTTCAAGAGACGCCTCACATACCTCACTGTCTTGTATGTTCATGTGACATCAAGTAGAAATGTGGAATTATTTTTTATATATATGTCACAGTTCTGTTGCCAAAACTCTAAATAGACAGCAGAGATGTTATGTATTCTAGATTTCACAACTTTCAACTTTTAATAAGTGTTTGTCAATGTGGAAAAGCTATTTCAGCATATTATAAAGTTTTAAAGGTATCATACCCATTATATATCTTTACCACTTTGGGATTTTGTACATTGGATTGTATAGATAGAGATATTGATGGTTTTAAATGGTATTTTCTTTTTTGACCAAGGCTTATGGTTTGTGTTTTAGTATTTTGGTTTTCATTTTTTAATTTTTTTTCTCATTTTATTTACTATACTGCCATGTTACATGGTTTTTGAATCACACAGCAGCTGCTTTCTATACATACATATATATGTGTGTATATATATGTATGTATGTGTATATATACACAGATATATAAATAATTTATAAACCTGACCAAAACTTATGCTAAATATACTTTCCAATATGAATGCTTGAGAGTGCCATATCAGCAGTAAGTATTGGAGTCTTAGCAGGTTTAGTTAAGTGTACATCAACAACCAACATTTATATAATAAATAATATATAGCAGTGCCATCCTTGATACAGATATATAGCATACTATATAGCACATATATTAGCAGTTTCACTTTGTTACTACTATAATCTCTTCTTTCTATGTAATATTAAGGATTGAATGTGAAGTTCTTAGCTAGGTTTGGGTGTAACTTTCCAGAATTTTGTAAACTGTTTTTGTCCGTCTTTTGTTACTGTTCTATGGTGCCATATTCTATATTGAAACAATAACAACACGGGAGAAGAAAATAATAGTCTGCTTCAAGTAGCAACTGTATTGGACACAGACTGTATTTATACAGTATTAAAGAAAAAAAAAACCCACAACCATCAACCCAACTGTAAATTTTCCTGGTTAGTAGCTCAGTGCAGCCTACAATATAGTCTTGTTACAGACATTTTCCTCCCACCACTAAATACAACATTAAAAGGTGATTAGGGAGTCTGTTGATGAAACACAAATGTATGTTTTATTGATTTAATTTAGAACACTACAGAGTTCATGGACTGCGCGATGGCATTAGATTGATGCTTGATTTTGGTATAAATCACTACCATTGGAAATGATTTGATGTCCGCTTGCAGAGTTTTCTCAACAGTACGGCTCAGTTTATAGCAAGTATTGTTGCCCAAAGGGTGTCTGCAGCTCTGTATTGTTACTGTGCCATGTTGCATTATAACCACACAGTAATTCTATTTAAGCGAACTCAACTCATAACTCTGAAGGCCTTTAGAAATGAGTACTCTGGTTCTCAAGCAATAAAACTAATCATGGTGAACATGGCTGTGTCTGCCCCTTTAATTTGGTGATTACAGGGAAATTACTAAATTGTTACATTTCTTATTGAGATTCCTTTGACCCCGCCAAGCAACAAGGGTATTTTTCACATTAAAACTTCTACGATGGGATGCAGTTCTGGTGTTAATCAAAACACAATACAAACCGAGTAAAAGCCACTGAGGAGCTGGTACGGGAGCCCTGATGAGAGGAGGGTGATGCAGCTTTACGAGCCGTTCTCAAGATGCTAGTCTTCAGCAGGTCAGTAAATGTGCCACCATAAACTCCTTCGTGATTATCCCGAGTTTCAGAAGAAGCCTCAGCAGCCTGTTCCAGCAGGGCCCGGGCCCCGAGCACAGACGAGCTCGCTGTAGCCTCCAACCGCGGGGGTCGGGCCCGCACCTCCTCGGGGGTGAGCTGCTGAGAATGCCCCGGAACTGAGCCCTCAGAAATTCATGAAACGCAGCTTTGGTATTTTAACAGCCCCGGAGGCGAATGCGGAGGCGAGGGGGGGAGCCGGGACGGGCCGATGCTGGCGGACAGCCTGTCGCAGCCCCGGGACAGCCGAGGAGCGACGGGCTCCGGCCCAGGATGGGGACGGGTCCTGTCAGCTCGCCTCTGCCCGGGGCCGTGTCTCCGGCTGTCGGTCCTGCGGGGTCTCGGAGCCCCCTTCTCCCATAACGGCCCCTCATTTCGTTTAAGAACTTTGGGTGGGAATGACCAGCCCCGAGCGCAGGTGCTTTTATCCAGACACTTCCCCTCAGGAGCCCGAACAACGGCCGGTCTCAGCGTGCTCACAGCCAGGCCAAGACCCTAAATTTGATTTATTCCCTCTGTAATCGCGGCTTAACTGGGCGCGGCCCCGTTCAGTGAGTAGGGACCTGCGGGCCTCCACACCCTGGCCGGGACGCGGAGCTGCCCTGGCGGGAGCGAAGGGAATCGGTCACAGTGAGCGGGGAGGCCGGGACCCGAGGGGCTCCGGGGGGAGAGGTCCGGGCCCCTTTCCGCAGCGGAACCGCGCCGACGCGGGCCCGTGCCGTGCCGCGCTGGGTGAGGCCCGGGCCCGGGAGAGGCCCGGGCGCTGCGGAAGGTGCTGTAGAGCGGGGGACCCGGGCCCTGCGGAAGGCGCTGTAGAGCGGGGGGCCTGCGCTGCTGGGTCCCGCACCGGCCGCTGGCTGCGGTGCAGCCGCTCCCAGCCTCTGCTCGGGCTGCGAAGCCATAGCTGAGACACGGAGAAAAGAGACGCTCGCGTTCCTTTAAAAAAAATAAACAAAAGCAGCAAAAAAAGAAAGGCATCTTAACAACGCGGGCGGCTTACACCCACCCGAACTCGCGTGTGCCGAGGGGGAAATGTGGAGATGTGGAGTCTCGGGCGGCCGGGAGCGCCTTGGCGGCCGCAGAACCACGCGGAGCCCGGTTCGGGCACGGGAGCGGCCGCAGGTGCGGGGCCAAGCACGGCCTGGGAGCCCGGCGGGAAGGCACGGGAGGGCCGTGGGGCTCGCAGCCGCCGCGGCGGATCTCAACAACCTCGCCCCCAGGTTTTGACAGAGGCCAGTACTGAGGCAGCGCAATGGGCCGTGTCCCGGCCCCTCTCCCCTGCCCGAGTGGGGCCGCACGTTCAGCGCCGGGCCTCGCTCCTCTCCGGGCAGTCCCACAGTGCGGGCCGTGACCGCGGCCCGGCCCTGCCGAGGGAACCGCGGCTCTCCCGGCTCAGCCCCCCGGACGAGCGGCTCCTTTTCCCTCGAGGGGCAGCATCGGGCACCCTGCAGAAGCTCTGGTGTCCCCGGCCCCGGGCACAGAAATGCGGGAAGAAACTCACTAAAGGAGGTTGTTAAATAATTTATTGATTTATACAAAGTCTTTCCAACACGTGTGGAGACATTCTAATGTAAAATCGCGTCCATTTTCCTCTCGTGCTTTTTTTGGGCATTGGTTTGGTTTTTTGGTATTATTAAGCATAAAATCCAGAGGCAGGAGAAAAGCAACTGCCAAAACACTGAGGGACGGAGTGAAAGAAAACTGCCGTTTTTGCACTAGAAATATACATCACAAAATCTGAAATTTACTATATACAAAGTGGCTGAGCTCGGACTTGGGACCCATAGAAAACATAACAAAACCTGATTGTTAGGAGCAGGAAATTAACAGGAAGCCTAAAGGAAAGAGCGGGAAATCTTACAAGGACACAAAACCCAAAAAGTTGAAAAATTTTCTCTGAAATTTACATCAATGAGAAAGAAAATAAATTCATAACTTATTCTGTAAAAAATATATACATTTCACATACATTTTATGCTGTACAACACACCACTTCAAACAGCCAGTTACACTCACCCCTGCCGCGCTGCCCGGTGCGGCCGTCGGCCCCGCGCCCTCACAGCGTATCCGAACTGGTGCTGCAGGGGCTGACGAGGGACAGGTTCGTGGATTTGTGCTTTTTCAATAGCCTCGTGATTTTTTCATCGTCTGAGTTGGGGTCCAGGGGCTTGTTGTATTCGTCATCGTCCTCATTGTCCGAGCTCTCCTTCAGCTTCTCCGTCTCCGAGTCGTGCTTCTTCTTTGCCGAGGCCATTTCTGCCGCGTGTCTCTTCCGCCACTTGGTCCGTCTGTTCTGGAACCAAACCTGGGCACCGGCACCGGGCACAGCTCAGCCACGGCCTCGGCCCCGCCGCCGCGTCCGCCCCCGCCGTCCCCGTCCCACGCGCGGCGCGGGGCTGCGGGCGCTCGGAGCCCCGGACGGCTCCGGGAAAGGGGCGCCCCGTTGGGGACACCTGCCCGGCTCTGCGGGGCTGCACGGCGCTTAGCTCAGCAGCTTCCTGGAACGGTCGTTTGTTGAAAACAGAATACGATAGCCAGGAAAAATATGTATTTTTGGCTTAAAGTGCACCCCAGCATTCGGATGCACCTGTAGTCTTTGCTAAAAAATTTGCGGGGTTACACAAGGTAAAGTTGTACCACTGGACATGATCATCGTGGAAAAGTGGCCCTTTAAAAAAATTACTTGTGGGGGGCTTTTTGTCGTTGTTGTGATGGGAGTTTATATTAAATATAATATGTCTATTTATTTTAAACCGTTTGCAGCACAGTGAGCTCTAAGCACAAAATAGGTAGAAATTACCCTAAAATCCATCCAAAATCGAAATGTAACTTAAATTCTAACTGACTCCCAAAAAAAAAAAAAATCCCGGCATAATTGCGCGGTGTTCGTGGCTGCTAGTAATTACCGACATGGCAGAAAGCGGCCGCGGCAAGGGAGCGGGAGAGGAGGGAGCCCGCAGGACGGACCTACCTTCACCTGGCTCTCAGTCATCCCCAGGGAGTAGGCGAGCCGGGCGCGCTCCGGTCCCGCCAAGTATTTCGTCTGTTCGAAGGTTTTCTCTAAAGCGAATATTTGCTGCCCAGAGAAAGTCGGTCGAGAGTGTTTCTTCTTGCCGTCCTTGTCCAAAACCATCCCGGTCTGAGCTGGAAGCGGAGAAAGAGCTGCGTCAGAGATGAACTCTGCACTGCCCCC